CTTGTCGCTCTGTCCCGCTTCTGCCGGGACCTGCCGTGAAGGTGAGCTACTAATACCGATAAAATCGCATCTGAAAGTAAGTTGGATGTACGCTACGAAAGGAAAGTCACGTTTTTAAACGTGGGGACCAGTCCCTGGATGCAGTAACTGTACCTGCCATTGTGTGCATACGTTTGCACATGCAACTTGTTAGCTAAATATCCCACTGGTAACCTCAACGTAAAACTGCGCGTCCTGCTTCCTGGTAGTTGTAAAGCACGAGAATTGGTGCCCTTTCTGTGCTTCCTTCTAAGGTGACTTGAGCTACAAATACAGGTGTATGTTATCTCAGATGCAAGGAACCTTTTGTTTGACCTTTTAATATAAATATATGTACATTTTAGCACTTCACAAATATGCTTAACATCATCAGTGATATATAAAAAGCTGTCACTTATGTAATTCTGTGGAGGGAAAGGGAATGAATCTTTAAATCGGTAAAAATTTCAGTGTTTTGAAATTGACTCTAGTGAAACTCCAAAGAGGCCAACAGGTGTTTTGTCTGGGAAATAAAAATTGCACCTTATTCTTGATATTGCACCATGTTTGGGACAGGATTGTTTGCATGTACGCCTCCCTGACTGTGTTTACACAAAAAAGGTACAAACAAAATCAAACCACAGTTTTTCTGGAAAATGGCTTTCTAAAGTGACGTGCAATGTTCTTGATAAGCATGCTAAAGAAGATTGTAATTATTAGATATTAACTATTATTCTAACTGGGTATATTATTATTATTAAATAATAGTTTAACTTGTCTGTGGCCTGATTTGGGAATGCCATAATTTGTGTGTGTTCGTATCAAATTTCCGATGGGTTTTGGGCAAAAAATAAAAGACACTCTGGAACATGTTCCATTATAATGCTTATTCCATTCCCTTCCTACATAATTTTCTTACATTGTTACATTTATCTATAGAATGTGTGTCAAGACTAGAATATTTCATAGCTGCTTTCCTGTTTGAATTTCCAAGTCCTAAGAAAGGAGTAAGGTCCTTTTTTTCCTTTCTTTCGTCGTCTCCCTTAGTTACATACATACATTATTACGAAGAGATGATAATCTCTAATTTGAGTAGCAAACATCTGCAGTTTCTTCCTCAGAATTAGAAATGTTTAGAACTGTAATGCTGACATATTCAGTCTCTACGAAGCTACAGTAAGCTTGTATGGTTATACACATGCTGTGTAATCTTGACATTTTAATCTTAGAGTTTCCTGATGCCAGCGTTTCTTATGCATGTTTTAGATTTCTCACATCTATTGCTTGATCAATTTCCTGTCTTTCTATGAGTCACCTGTAGTTTCCTAAAGTATTTTCTTCCCTCTTGTAAGGAAGATACAATTTTTATTTGAGCCTTTAAATGGGCTAAATACACATTTTTACACATCAGTTTTACCTGCCTGCTTTTAAGTATTGCCTGCCTCCACGGTTGGCCTTTATCTTTAAGCTCTGCATCAGGCTATCTGCCACCAGGCAAAAGCAGAAATTAAATAACGTTTGGAATTTTTTCTGTACCTAGTGACTTGGAGTATGAGTGCTATTCGTGGCCTCTCCTGTTATCTGTGGAGAATGCAACATTTGTTGTTAATCTTTTCCTGCTTTCTTCTTTGTTTTAACATCACATTAGAAACAAAATAAGTAAAAGAAAATGGATTGCTAAAATCCAGCTTAATGGATTTCAGATGTTTTCATTCAAACTGCATACTCTAATAGCCAGCAAATCCAGTTTGCCAGTGAAGACAGCACTGTCACGTTGAATCCCGTCAGATCTTCCTATATTTTCTTACAGATAAATAAATACTTCTTGACTGGTCTTGATTGTTAAAGGCAGTGGGGTATGTGCATCAGTGAAGGCAGGTAATGTTCAGCAGACTGACAGTTTAGGGTTCCAAAGACAATTGTTTTAATTTGATTTTTCAGCCAGGTAAAACCAAGGTTAAATTCTCCAGACGATCTGTTCTCCATTTGGGCTGGTTTTATGTTCAAGCAACCGTGGTAGTTGCCAAAAACTCACCACCCAAGATTTGGAGAAATAGACTATGTTAGATAAAAGTTATTTAAAGTATAGCTGAGAATTGGGAGTAAACCCTGTCTTAATCCTTTGCCCTTAGCTTCCCAAGTGTGGTTACAAGTCTAATGCTGGTTCTGCTTTCCACAATCAAACTGCAAGTGTTGAGCTAAGGGAATAAAAAATGACAGAAAGTTTTCTCTAAACCTTACAACCCCCCAAAAAAATCACAAAGCATAGATTAAAAATTAACTTAAGCCCCAGATTGGGAATGAACTCTGTAAGATTTTTATGGAAAGTACCAGTAAAGTCTCTGAACTTGATTTTAAGAAAAATATACTTTCTGTTTAAAGTATTACCATGCATGCTGGTTTAGAAGCTCTATTCAAATCTTCTGAACCCTCTCTGCAGCACTGATCAGACCCCATCTGAGAGGCTGTGTGCTATTCTGGGCTCCCCAGCACAAGAGACGTGTGGGCATACTGGAGCGGGTCCTGTGATGGGCCACAAAGATGGTGAAGAGACTCAAGCATCTAATGTAGGAGGAGAGGCTGAGAGAGCTGGGACTGTTCAGCTGGGGGGAGAGAAGACTCAGGGGTATCTTTTCAATGTGCATTAATAGCTACTGGGGGGAGTGAAGTTTAGCAGCTAAGGAGCAGACCCACTGCCAGCTTCATTACATCTATTGCAAGAAGAGTAATTTTTGGCGGCTGGCATCATTAACCTTTTTAATTGCTGCAGCTAAATCTGAACAGGGCTCAGGGATCAGATCTTTTACGTAAAAAAAATCCATTAATATAGGGTAAGAAAGCAAGTGTCCATAATAACTTATAACTTCCTTCTGCTTACACAGTCCAACTAAATTGATGTGTTTTGTTGGGGTTTTGGGGGGCCTTGTGACACCCAGCAATATCAGAAAAAGTTTTGAATTAAGTACACTTTAGCAATAAAATACTCTGCCTTTAAGGAAAATGAGGAAAAAAAAATAATATGTAATTTTATAACTTTTTATGACAAAGTGCTCCTTGATCTTGAGCATTGGATGAGAAGAAATGGCCTCAAGTTGCACCAGGGGAGGTTTAGATTGGATATTAGAAAAAATTTCTTCACCGAAAGGGTTGTCAAGCACTGGAACAGGCTGCCCAGGGAAGTGGTTGAGTCACCATCCCTGGAGGTGTTTAAAAGACGTGTAGATGTGGCGCTTGGGGACATGGTTTAGTGGTGGACTTGGCAGTGCTGGGTTGACGGTTGGACTTGATGATCTTAAAGGTCTTTTCCAACCTAAATGATTCTGTGATTCTATGATTAAGAGCTGCTTTAAAAATCCTTGACTAGAAATTAAAATCCAAATAAAAAAGCTGCCTATAAATACTGTTGACCTTAAATATGAGAGGTCCTCTCTGTTTCTACAGAGAACATAATACTTCAAGAGAGCAATGTAATCCCAGAATAAAGATTAGCCTTGCCTAAAGAGGAAGTTTTCTTTTGATTAGATGTGAAGACTTTTGCCGTACATGTTAGATGGTATTATTTTATTTTTTAAATATACTTAAGTGCATTTTTATAATGTAGAATTTTGCTTTTTTATAATGTATTTTTTAAAATGCATATGGTGAACTTTACTCTTGTTGTAATCGGTACATCTCTTCATTTGTCTGCATCACGTGGTGCATGATTGGTGGATTGCTGCTATCAGTGTTTTTAAAAGGACTGAATTAATAAATGAATGCGTAATAAGTCTCAGCTAGGTGGCATTAGAAAATGCATTTCCATTCTGTAAGGAAATTATGCTGGTACTGAGCTGAATAAGCTGCTTTAGCTCATTTCTTTGGTTCCTTTAGCTTAGAAAGGATCTTCAAAATGTCGGTGTAATTCCTGACACTATCCAAGCCATGTCAGGAAGTATCTCATCTCCATCAAAGGAAATATGAACTTTTACCACAGCAAATTCCAAATAAACTTATGAAACAACTCATTGTGCACTATTTTTAGTGACTACTTACTTTTGAGTCATATACCCTTATTTTGTTAGCCTTTTTCCACTCCCTCATTCATACTAAAAGATGTAATTGTTGTTGTGAAAGTCCTCTTAAGGATCCAGTTTCTGGCAGCACTGTAAGACGTTTACTTTGTTTTCTGCTTTGGTAGTAAACCCTACGGCTGTGTTTGGGCAAAAGAAAGACGTATGACATTAGCATACAGAAGACGCTACAAACCATGTTTCTTCACTAAGGCCCTATTCACCGAAACCTGAGTTTAAATGCCATATTCATCAGATCAGATATCTGTACGCTTGCAGAGTGTGCTGGAGTGAGGCGGCCTTGAGCCTGCGCTTACCTGCCTTGCTGTGCTGGACCCAAAGGATTCTGTGAGCTTTTGGAAGCAGCTGCTCCTGGCCCTGCAGCAGCTGTACCCACCCACCTCATTACACCCAGCTCGCACTGCAGTAATTTCTCATGTACCGTTCAAGCTCTCCAGCCAAACCTAGTTTTGCTATTTAGAGGGCAAGAATTGAACGTAAAGAGTTCAAAAGAAGCAAAAGATCTAGAAATAGCTCCATATTAGAGTTTTGAGAGGGATTATGAGAGGTTTCCTGTGTAAAACTCTAGTAAGATCTCAGAGGATGTTTTGAAATTCCCAACAAATCGTTTCTCACAGAGGCTGGATTAAGATCTGTGGAGTAAATGCAGTTATGGGCCTGTGCTACATCACAGAAAGGAATGAGTAATAAGAACTTGAAATATTATTATTATTATTATCATCATCATCATCATCATTATGGAAAGAGCTCACTGTTGGTACATATTGTGATGCTTCAGTCTTTCAGCTCTATTGTATAGTTGCAACTACAAAGATTAGACATGCTCCTGTAACAAACACATAAGCTGTATAATCTCCCTCTGGTTTTTAGTACTTCTCTGGATCACAATACTGAAATAAAAACAGTTAGAAGAGAACAGACAAGCCTGCGGATTTTGGCTAGGTCATTGTTTCCCAGAGCCTGTGTAGCAACTGGTGGCTACACAAAAAGAAAAGAAAAAAAAAGGCAGGGCAGGGGTGCGTCTCTGAGAACTTATGCTGTATTTGTTTTTCTTCTTTTTAAATAGCTTTTATACATCTTGGATGCTATATTAATTTTGGCTCACCTGAAACTTTTATATTATAACTACTAACTAGTTAACTTTCATTTTAATCTGTCACACTTTTTTTTTTTACTATGTATCTCATTTTCTTTTCAATATAGCTCCCCCTGAAGAGATACTTGTATAGGATTCAGAAGGAGGAGGCTCTGTTGGAGGGAGAAAATTTCATAGGGCTGTGTGTAGGAGGATGAGCAGGACAAGGAAGAGGAGGTGATTTTCATGTTTTGGAAGGAAGGATGAGGGGCTGTATCAAAATAGTGAGGTGAATTAAACAGAGAACGGAACAGCAGAAAATTAAAGCAATGGGGACTGAGAGACTGTTTTAATAGAAACGGGGATCAGTGGCAAGGAGGTGTACAGGGAGACAGTCCATACTGAGCAGTAAAGAATCAAGGGGATCAGTGTTTTAGGAACAGAATGAAAACAGAAGGAAAAGATTTAGAAGATCGCAGCATTTACGAGGCTTTTCTGAACTGCAGTGTCTTTCATTAGAATATTATAATAGCTTTGTACCAAGGAACATTCTTTTATGTATTTACTTACTTTAAGAAATCACAATAAACTAAAGTGATCAAGGACTGTCTGAATATATTAGCTGTGGTATTTTGCATATGAAGGCACTCAAACTGACTACTTTGCAAGGCAGCCAGGTGCTGGAAGACAGTAGCTTACTGTTAAGCAGGCACTGTGGAAGTTAGTATTTTGGGAGGATACAAATCTTTTGCATAATCCTTTCTATATTATCCTACATCCTATCCCCACTACATTTATGAAACCACAGATCTACCGCTGATCCGATTACTCCAGTTAGCACCAACTGAAATAAAAAAAATCATACCTCCACCTCAAAATGCTGTGAGCACCTAGCTAACTCTGGGGAAAATAGGAGCTCCGGAGAAAACCTGGAATCTGGCAGCAGGGGTTGGCTGTGGTATTAGTACACAGTAAAATTTTGACTGAACTTAAGAAATTAATTGGGCAAAGGTAGATCTAAACAATTTCCATGGCATTATGTCCATCTTGGTTTGGTAAAACTTGACCAGATGGTAATACATTGATAAGTGGTGCTACTGACGTTACAGCAATTAATCTGCTGGAAATGCCAATACGGAACACAAAGCCAGTCACGGCTATTACCTAGATGAATACTCTGTGTGAAATTTATTTTCTTTATGTTAATAAGAGGTGAATTGTGGGACAAGTCAAATGAGTTGTGTAGTGACTTAAATATGATGTCATATTATCACCTAAAACTGTTGATTATAATGTTACTAGTAAAAGCTAGACCACTATATCTCTGCAGCTGCCAGCCACCTACTCACCTACCTAAGAGATAAGCTGATCTGTTTCTGTTAATGAGGATTAGCCACCATCATGGAAACTATTGATTTGCATATGTGCAGATAAATGAAATTAAACTTGTATTATGCTATTGTACTTTATTAAAAAAATCAGCGGTACGCTAGCACTTGGAAAACTTGCAAAAATTCTGAGCCAGACTCTGACACACTTCAGCCACATTGTCCTGATTGAGTATCTAGAATTATCTTTCATTACTGCTATCTGCTGCAGAGTTTCACATACGTACTTAAGGATGTTTCACTGCACTGGTACTACAATCCTGATAAATGCAAAAAGGTCCCAAAGATCTAGAGTTTTTTCAAAACTTAGCCTAGTGCTTCTCATAAATCCTAAATTCACACAGCGATTTTCAAGAGAAAACGTTCCTGGGAGACTTTGGTTTTCAAATTCATGTCTGGAAGTCTAGAGAGATGTTCAATAGGATCTGCATCAGATGAAGAAGCTGTACACTTCACATCAGTGAAAAATGCCAGAGGAGGAGGAAAAAAGAATAGAAGGTTAGCAATGCACATCATCTTTTCTTTATTTCTGGTCCATTTAGGAATGGTCTTTTTTCATATGGGAGAAGAAGAGAGATGGGAGAATGTTGCAGAAATAATCGCACAGTTGTGATTATCTAACAGCCGAGTAGGCACTGGAAATCTTTAGATAGAGCTTCACAAATAGTGGCACACAGACCATTGCCGAGCAGCATGCCATCCAGGAAAGAGCCAAGAGCTGCTGCTGCTGCGACGGTGGCTTTCAACAGCAACTTCAGCTATTGCACTTCCTCCTCTTCAGGCCCGGCCAGGGTCCCCAGAGCATACTACCAGAGGTCTTTGTACAGGTCCTTAGTGAACCCTCCTTCGGTTAACGCTGTATGTGTGATCCACTTCCAGATACCTCATACATCTGAGGGAAGATGAACAATCTAGGCTATTCCACATGCTACACTTCGATAATTCTGAGGTAAACTCATTACGCCCAAGGTGGATTTTTTTTTTCAAGTATAGCTAACGTTGCATTATAATAATATTTTTATTATTCTTAATTAAGACTCTTGCCTTTTTTGAATTCTAATTTTTTAATTACTCTGTCAAATTCACCACTAATGGGTTCCCTTTATCATAACAAAGCTAGCTTTCTTCTTCATGTTCCATTCCTTTGTTATGTTGTTATGAGCTTGCAAATCTGTAAGCACTTTTCTCCATTTGCAGGCCAATGCAGGGAGGTCAGGATGTTTATAAGGACCTGGAATTCCAAAAAATTCATTTTGTATTTTAGTTTTGATTATTGCCACTTAAGCATTATGACAACATCCATCCAGTTAAAAGTTCAGTTCCATTGGAAATTGCTTTTTTTTTTCCAGTGAACCACTGCTAATCAAAAATGTATGAGCAATGCTTTCATAAGTAAAAAAGTCTCATAAGTAAAATAAAATAAAAAATGGAGAGTGAACAACTTTCTGTTCTAACATGGCCATCTGTCATTTATAAAGACATCACCCCATTAACCTGTCTAATCAACTCCATTCTTTTTTCAAAGTTGGTTAAGTAAGTTTATGAGGAGACGTAGATGTTCTCTTGATTAAATCTGTTGTAAAACGGCCTCTCTGGTGTTCTGCTTTTTGTGCATTTACACATATAAAGGTAATTACAAGTACATATCACTACTGTAAATTCCATGCTTGTCATATTACAGTGCATGACATTTTCATTTCCTCCTGGTGAAAATGAAATCTGATATTTTCTGTTCAAGCAATAATGACCAATTAGAATTTGTTATTATTAATGTTTGTCCTAAAGTGCTCCAAGTCATGAGGTGGTTTCCTCCCAGGCAGTTGAATTTATAATGTGGACAAAAGGGGTTTGACATGTTGCTATACCACCTTCAACCATTGCCTCTCAAGCCTGGTTATTCCTTCAACAAACTGGGAGATCCCCATGGAAAACCCACAATTCAGGGAAGAATATTACTGAATTGAGGTTTAAAGTGGAGAGTTGAAATAACTGATTCTCTTCAGGAGAAATTTCTGAAGTCTGTCTCTGACCCTTCCTCCCCGACATTTTGCTTTTATAACAGGGACCAGAGCTTAGTTCTCTTGCAAGTGAACGTAGCTCTGCAGAAGTCAGTCAGCTAACTTGCATCAGTTCCAATGCAATGTGGTCAGCTATCTTCATCGGGATTTCTTCAGTGCCTTCAGATTCTACCAGTAATGGGGAAACTACTGGAAACTGACCCTTTGAAGAACTGCCCAAGGAATGAATTCAAATAACTGTGTTATACCTGGGAACCACAATAGGATGGCTTCTATAATATGCAGTCAAAGTTTATGTAAGTAGCTGAAATACTGAATATGTTTTAAATGCTTTACTAGTCACTTAGATAAGTTTGGTTATATTTGATAAAATGCCAGTTTTATTACTGCCAATTTCAGCATTTGGATAATTTTTTTATTGCCTGATTCTTCTTTTATTTAAAATAAAATACATGTCAAATCCTGAGATGAGTAGATGTCCTGGTTTCGGCAGGGATAGAGTTAATTTCCTTCCTAGTAGCTGGTACAGTGCTGTGTTTAGGGTTTAGGGTGAGAACAATGTTGATAACACACCGATGTTTTAGTTGTTGCTAAGTAGTGCTTACATTAGTCAAGGACTTTTCAGCTTCCCATGCTCTACCGACTGAGAAGGCTGGATGTGCACAAGAAGCTGGGAGGGGGCACAGCCAGGACAGCTGACCCAAACTGGCCAAAGGGACATTCCATACCGTGTGACGTCATGCTCAGTACATAAACTGGGGAAAGCTGGCCGGGGGGCTGCTGCTCGGGGACTGGCTGGGCATCGGTCAGCAGGTCGTGAGCAATTGCATTGTGCATCACTTCCTTTGTATATTATCATTATTACATTATTGTTGTTGTTGTTGTTGTTGTTGTCGTCATTATTTTATTTCAATTATTAAACTGTTTTTATCTCAACCCACCAGTTTTTCTCACTTCCACTCTTCCAATTCTCTCCCCCATCCCACCAGGGGGAGGGGGAGTGAGCGAGGGGCTGTGTGGTGCTCAGTTGCCGACTGAGGTTAAACCACGACAGTAGATTTATGCATATGGAGAATTTTTTGTAAAGACCCTTCAATGGTGATGGAAAGCACCTTTATTTTTAGAGGAGTACTGACGACTTGGTTTGAGAACCAAATCTCTTTACATTATACGTGAAATCTTCCCTCTAGAAACTTCCCTCTCTAGAGGTAACCGGAAAGACAGGCAACACGCAAACCCACAGTGAAAAGAGGAGGAAAGACAATTCTATATCATATGTGGAGGGAGAGAGGGTTAAAAAAGAGCAAGCAGTTGGAATTATGTCGTAACACCTCATATGATAGAAAGCGGACGACAACTTTTGGAAGATGGAAATGGATCTGCTCTACTCTCACTGAAATCCCGTGGAGGAGGCTGGTAATGAATCTGCTGGGGAGTATTACAACTCAGGGAGCGGCCAGCACATCTCTTGGCAGATCTCAGGGTATTAGAAATTGAAAGGCAGCCTAAAAATATTCAGACAAAAACCAAATACCCATAACCTTGTCTCAAGCACAGAGACAGACGAATGGAGAATTTCTTTCTGAACCTGGCTGGCCACTTTTTCCACTTTCCCAGTTCATAAGCACATGTAGCATAGTCACAGACATAAAGTGGCAACTGTTTCATCACCTTTTTCTCTTCTTGAAGAAAACTGACACTGAAAAACAAGGAGTAAGCTTATGCCACCTTTACAGTCTGAAGGCAACTGGACGTAATACCATGCGGCAGCTAAAATTCTAATCCAATGTCAGTAATTTTAAAAATTGAGTGGCTTTGCACAGTTTGAGATCTACTTTACTGGCGCTTGCCTTACAAATTTTTTTTTTCTCAAAAGCAAAGGGAGCTAGTAGCAGCAGTAGCAGAGAGTAGAAGCAGCAGTGGCAGACTAAAAACTCCAAACTTCAGCTTGTTCGGGCAGCTAGCAGACAGGATCTCATGGGAGGGTGCTCTGAAGGGCAAAGGGCCACAGAGAGCTGGTCAGTCTTCAAGGCCAGCCTCCTGAAAGCACAAGGACAGTCCATCCTGAACTGCAGGAAAATGGATGTACATAGCAGGCAGCCAGACTGGCTGAACAGGAAACTCCTAACTGAGTTCAAATGCGAAAAGGAAGTGTACGGGGCTCCAAGTGGGGACGGGCTGCGCAGCAGAAATAGAAGTATTGTGGCTATGCAGGAATGGAGTTGTGTGTTACATGCTGCGCAGAGAGGCTATGGAGTCCCCAACCTTGAAAATTTTAAAAAACTTGAATGCATAAGACCCTAAGCAACTTGATTGAACTTTGAAACTAGATGTGCTTTGAGCAGGAAGCTGAAGCAGATGACCTCACAAGGTCCTTTCCAACCTAAATTACTCAATGACTCTATATTCTTCATAGAATCAAGAGTTGTACAAGCCAACCTAGGCCAGTTTGCTCAGGGCACTGTCCATCTGAGCTTCTACTATCTACAGAAACACTACTCGCAATTTTAACTTTGACATATGAATTGAACCTAATTCAAACTTAATCCTTGCTGTTTCAGTTCTGGCAGTCTTTCTTTTCAAATTGTGTGAAATTTATGTACCACTATGTGGGTTTCTTTCTTGGAGGGGATGTCAGTTTTCAAAGCAGAATCTGCATTGTCATGAGGATTTTAAAGATGAATTCAATTAACAGACTGATTTAATGTAGGCTAAAATTGTTTTTCAAAAGAAATACAGACCAAGGGCTACCTTTTAATTGTTTCTTTTTTATGTATATAAGCAGTTTATAAAACTATAATGTGATTTTTTGAAATGAGAGGTACTTCAGGGTATTGTTAAAAATTGTCTTATTTTGAACACTGGTAGTTATAAAAAAAGAGATTTACAAATATTTTCTGATACCCAGTCACATCAGGGGAAAAAAAAAAACAACCTGTGTGTTAGCATAATGGAAAATACATGATGTGAGAGTAGCAGGGATTTTCTACAACATTCACTGCACTCTTTATTCAGCAACTTCTATAAATGGGTCTAAAAATATTTATAGTAAGGGAAGTGGACAAGATGACTTCTTAATGGCACTTTCTGTAAAATATTTCTGTAATTTCTTTGTCAGGATATCACATTATTACAGACCTGAGCCCAGGGTTGAGAAGTCTTTCCACATAAGTCCATGCCTATTGAAATGCACTGAGGTATCCTTAAAACATCATATATATCTGAAAGAGATCCAAAAAAGAAGGGCTAGGTGCAGAAATAAAGGTTTACATGTTCTGGCAGTGCAGCTGGACTGGTTTTGGTGACAATGCCATGGGTGGGGTTTTTTTCCCCCCTTTTCGAGTACACTTCCAGTAGAATGGCAAGGATATATCTCTCCATTTGAGGAGTCTCTCTTTTTCAACTTAAGTTTGTACCTTAAAAGGATACAAAATTAAAATAGGTGTTATGATTTAGTTGCATATAACCTCACTGTTTGAGTTTATAAATATTGCAAATTGGAATCTTGCTTAAAGAAAGGAGCAAAAATTGAATAAAGGGTTTGGAATTCAGCTGTAGAAAATAACCATAAGTAACCACATGTTTTAAGTGGCTTGAATCCCAGTATTACAAGTGTGACTCTTGTTGGGGACTAGATATAGTATTATTCTAGTGATAAGTCTATTTTCTGCTTTTTGAAAAAAGAGTTTTCCACTAAGATTATGACTGCCAGATTTCCTACACCAGTTGGTACCCTCAAATATTTTGGAGGCTCCCATCACCTTAATACAAGTTGTGAAAGGGATGATTTGGCCCTGGGACTACATATGCGCCAGTTACTATGACACTTCAGACAGCTGGTAGTCTGAAGATCACAATTTGGAAACCCTTATGTGAGCAAATAACCATGTTCTCCACTTACTAAATTCATTTAACTAGCCACATTGTAAAATTATACTGTAAGCTATTCATGATCCTTGAGATGAAACATGTTACTCTTCAAATAATGCTTTACACTGAAATATTTATTCCTTGAGGGGGAAAAAAAAATCACAGAGATATCTTTATTTAACTGTGGTATCTGATCTTTCATATTTTTAACATATCCGCCTAGTACAACTGATGATTGGATAGAGACATTCGGCCATAGGCATTTTAGAGAAAAACTTTTAAAGTCACATTTTCTTAATTTGAAATGGGTGATGGATAAAATGCATGAGAAAAGTCAGATTTTTCTGCCAAATACAGCATAATGGAAATCTTCTTGCATAATGAAGTGTTAACTAAGTCATGCTTCTGCGGAATGATTTAAAGTGTGATTCCACCACCAAGAGATTGTAAAAAAAGCAGGGCTCCATGGTGTCTCGGTAATTTCAGCATAAGATATGCTGAGTTTGCAAAGAAAAAAGGTGGGAATGTTTGGTTTGGGAATTTTTCCCCTCCTAATTTCCAGTCCCCCAAACTCCTCCTTTGGGCTTTTTTACATCTCATGCATCATTAGCTGGAATAAATTATCATCAGACTAAATTGCATGATTAACTATTTTTGAATTGGCAGTAGAGGGAGAGAGACTTTAACCTGCACAATGGGCAAATTTGGTAGGAAACAACTGATAAAATACTCAGTCACCTCACTAGGGCACTTTTACAAAAGAATCTGTTATAGAAGAACCAGAACTTTAAGAAAAGCATAATAATGAGATAAAACGAGTTTATATAAAGAGATGCATGATATCCCCGTTTCAGGAAAACTCACTACAATCAGAAAATTACCAGTTTTATGGATAAATTTCAGACTGCTCTATAAAACACCAGAAAAAAAAATAATCAGAGAATTGAGAAACACACAGCCAAATAAAATCTTGATAATCAATTATTTGCTTAGCAAACAAAAAAGGCAAACAAAAAAAAAAAAAAAAAAAAGGCCAACACATTTTTTTGCAATGCAAATACTTTACACAGAAATGTCCTAAAAGAGGTAAATTTGAATAATCCACTGAAGTGTAATCTAAAAGGGCAGAAGATTATAGAGCGCAGGCACTATCTGTGCCCCCACCCTGTTTAATTTGCGGAAGTAAAATATTAAGAGGCAGCACGTAAAATCTGGTCTCTGTTCCCTACAGAGACCAGATTTAATTGTACTTATAGAGAGAGACCATGATTTTTTTAAACAGCTTTCTGCTCTTGAAAAACCTCCAACCATAGTACTGGGTATCTTGGCTCTGCCTGTGCAGAATCTCTCCAATCCACCCCCCCAAAGCAGCAGCAGCAGAAGGAAACGAATGGTGATTTTCTGGGGGGAGGGCAGATACGGCCCACCGGCACCTCCCTCCCCGGCCCATTCCCCGCTGCCGGGGCAGGCGGGGAGGCGCCGCGAAGGGCTGTGGCTGCGGCAAGCAAGGCGGGAGGGGAGAGGGGCTGGAAATGCAGTGTGCTACCCTGTTATTATGAGTGCTGGGAAGCGATCCATGCTAGCAGCAGTTTTTTCTTCGTAATTTATGTGTTCTGCCATAATGTTTTGCTACAGTGGGATTCAAACTATTCAAAGTATTTTTAATTAAGGAGGACCCGCAAAGGAAGAAAGCTGTATTCGTACAAGGAAATAGGACAACACGGAGGTTCTCATGTGAGCCAGGGTTCTACGGAAACTATTGTCAATGAGGCATGAGGCTGCCTGCAGCTAGACTTACTTACGCTGCGGTGTAAATACTTAGAGCTAGCTAAATGATGTAAATTTGAAGCAAAGTCAAAAGCAGGACATTAAACGGGCTATAGCAGTGCTATGAAAAAGCGTACACTTGCCAAGAATGAACACTGCCTGGCAAAGCACTCAGACCCTGATTTTTTCTGCCTAAATTACACCTGAACTGTTCACTAATGTTATGCCAAATGAAATTTAGGTTTGATTAATCTATTCCTTCATACCTGCTTATCGTAGACAAAAGTAAGGAGTTATACAGAATAAACCTAAATATTTTTCCTAAATTAGAGGCTTTTATGTATAAAGTTAACTTCAGTGAATTTGCCATGGAAGCAGACCGTCAGGCTCTAGTGTGCTGTGCAGAGAGAGAGCTGGTTTCGCTTTTTTGCTATGCAAATTATTTCTGTAGATTTACCTTGTCTATAATATTTGCTAAACTGAAAGTGCAAAAACAGTTGTAGGAGTTACTGAGAAGGGGAGAGGGGAATTTAAAATGAAAAGCTTGTGTTTTACTTTGCTTGTAAAGTAGAAGCAAAGGGAAATTTGGGGATAGTGTCTATTATGTATGCCTTATGACACCCGAAATAAAAGGGAAAATTGCTTTTTTATGTCTAGAAAGAATAATTTTCCTGATTTAGATACTAAGTAAAATGCTGATAATTCCTTCCTCAAACATGAGTACATAAATAAGTTATACAAGAATACTTATTTTGTTGTGCAGTATACTCATAAATATTAGATAGAAAAAAAAATCTCAGTTACAGAAAGCAACAAAAGCTAGCAAGGTCTCTTGAGTTTTCCTTTTATTAAAATAAATCAGTAGTCTTGCTTGGATTCTTAAAAATAATTATGTCCAGAAGTTAAACATGTTTAAGTAAGTTGACTGCATAGATCTTCCAAAGAAAGGAAGGCCCAACACTACAAGTCAGGTTTTTGGAGAAAGTTTATTGGTTTTATTCTGGTGGGTTAAAAAGTGTATGTTAAATAAAGCATGGTTTCTGTTGATTACTTGATAATAGTTTGTATGGTCTGTGTATAAAAAAATTGCAGATTTCTATAAGAGTCTGTTTTGGTAGGAACTGCTAGTTTTCACTGGTGGTTTAAAAAAAAAAAAGGTACCGCAAGGTTAAATTTCTTAGCAACACTTTAAAAAAAATCTTTGACATATGTAGCAAGAAGAAAGTGTTATTAAAAAGAGGATCATTTAAATAGAATTAATAGAAATCCATTTTGTTTAGACTGGAAACCTGAAAGGACAAGCCCGAACAAGACTCTCATGCCCCTTTTTTTTAAAAAACCAAACAGTCATACCCTGAAGTGTTGACTGAGCTGTAGCTGTTAGCTCTCCTTGACTTTAAAGGTACCCTTCACTTTGTCTGCGCTGTGCGATAAGGATAGTGACTTCTCCTTGGGACCGATTCAATTTAGGGAAGCTGAGAACAGGCAAGTTTCTGATACTTACCTTGTCCTTATGTAACAATTAGTAGAAAAGGGTACTACTGCCCCTTCATGTTGAGGAAGTGGATTGCAAAGGCCAGTAGTGGTGGGTGGTAGAGACAAAAATCTCAAAATGGTTAAGCAGTTTCATGGGAAATGGAGAAAGCTAGTAGAAGACCAGAGATGTTGCTTTCTGTACGTTTCCAAAGATTTACAGGGAGCTACATAAAACGTCCTGGCTTCTGAATTATGAAAACACATTTATTCCTAGCTGGGGGTTGCAACTCCTTATAAAGAGGCAAATACGCCCTTTTCCCACAAAGCCTTCCCGCTACAAACAGAGATGCTAGACCTTCATAATTAAAGTGAGAACTTCTTTCCACATATCTTTCAAACCCAGTTCTAGTACAGATGGACATGTTTTTCGTAACCAGTTCTGGCCGTAGGAAATTATTTTGTTTTACAAGGTGGATATAAGAACCATGCTGCACAGCTCACCTCCTCTTCTGCTGTTTCCTGCCAGTTGCCTGGCATCTCCCTCACGGGCCAGTCTGATGGGCCAGTGGACTGGAATACCTCTGCTTCTTACAGTCTCTGGTGAAGCCACCTTGCTTGGGGTGGTAGCAAAGTCTAATGATCCTTCCCCTCCCCTCAGCACTGGTGTGGCCACACCTGGAGAACTGTGGCTCAGCTTTGGCCAATGGCAGGTCCCTCTTGCAGCCGCCTGGAACTGTAAAAACCCCCCCCTGCAGCCCCGCCACTACCAAAACCTAGACACATAAACCCAATACAGAAACACAGAAAGAGAATTTAAAAAGCGAGAGGGTACAAGAAACATAGGCAAGAATTAAAAAATAGGGACATTGAACCACACAGAGTGAGACGTTGAAAGAAAATTTTAAAAGCGACATGCAACAAGACATTGCAGGAGGAATTCATCAATGATCTGGATGAGGGGATCGAGTGCTCCCTCAGTGAGTTTGCAGACGACACCAAGTTGGGCGGCAGTGTTGATCTGCTCGAGGGTAGGAAGGCTCTGCAGAGGGACCTGGACAGGCTGGA